GTAAGAATACACTTTTGATAATATCTTCCATATTATATATAAAACATAACACGATGTCATCCGCTTATAGGTGAGGTCTTTACAATTTATAATTATGAAATAATATAGAGCATGTTATATTTAAAGAATAAAATATGACATCAATAGAAAAAGTGTACAAATCTAATCATAATGTCAATATTTGCCCCCCCCAAGGTCATGCTCATAACTGTGCTTGATCTACAACAGGGAACTGCTGCTGTTTCTTTCCTAATCCTTACTATTGTCATTTTTTCTTATACTTTTGTATGTTTGTCACACTCTTGTGACCTGCTATTTCCGGGGTTTTTTGATAATCGAAGCAGACTTTGTGCTGTTGAAACAAGAGAGGTGAGAAGAGTAAGTCTGATTCCCTGTAAGGACTTCTCTGTTGACATCCACCCCTTGGCGCTCATATGACCTTATGCAGTTGCGAGCACAGTAAAACCTCTACCTAAACTAAAACTCAATTTTTGGCCAATGTCTTCATTTGTGGATTGTGAGAAGTAACTCATTTTGTCAGCACGTCTCAGATATGTTGTTTTATTGGCAACAACATCCAGGTTTGCAGGCTCTCCGAAAGAGGTTGTAAATAATATTTTTGATTCATTCAAATGTCAGCTGAAGTCGTTTCTGTTTTTAAATTAATAAGATGAATATTTGGATTTATTTTCTTTTAGTCAGAACACAACGTTTTATGTTACTGGTGTACTTTATATTGTATTGTAAAGCGCTCAGAGCCTGTGTACTTTAATCGGGGTCTAGCGCTATATAAATGTCATTTATTAGTAGTTGTACTACTACAGTCGACAATGGATGAGTTGATATTCTCAGAGGAGTAAGAAAAATAAATCAACTCAGCCCAAGTTTAACCAGAGATTCTTTACTACTAGCAAGGAATCTTTGGTTCAACTCTGCTGGCTTTTAAGGCCAAGAGAGGGCATTGCTCTACCTAAAGGAGACATTTGGTTTCATTGCTGTGTATATTTGTTTGATTATAGAGAAATCTCTCCTTGTCTTTTAAAGAAACTGAGCAAGTGGCAAAAACTTTATCTTCGATTTTCTCAAAACACATTTTTCGGGATAGCCCCCTTGTGCTTAAAGGTGACCTAATTAACTGTTGGGGTCTGTAAAGAAGAAAAAAGTGCTGGGACCAGAGGAAAAAAAGACCAACTTAACCAAATATCAACTCGTTCAAGACTGACGCAATAATCGAGGGCCGCCAAGTAAACTATGGATAGTCATGTTTTCCGAATTTTACATGATAGACCAAAAAAAACAACCTCGGATTTTCTTAAAGCGTTTTTGGTGGATAAACTTCATTTTCCTAATATGGGAGTCTACAAATGCCATGACAGGCATTAGGCTCCCTTATGAATATGAAGTTTCATCGTCACCATCCAGTGAAAGATCTGCGACAGACATCGGCGATTATGGTTCTCCATTCATTCCTTTGCTCGGATGCTCTAAAAAGAAAAAAAGCCATGTTTCCCTGATCTTTTCCCATTTCCCATTTGTTTAGGTTCCCCAAGTTTTGAGAGAGAAGTTTATCCACCCAAACCGCTTCAAGAAAATCCTATTTTAGTCTCTCCTGTAAAATTTGAAAAACATGACTTACCATAGTTTACCTGGCGGCCCTTGAATAAGAGTCGACTTTGGGATGGCTCTACTGTAAAAATTGCGAAAATCTGCATTTACTGTATTTTCAAAAATGACGGCACTAAAGTTACTAACAAGCTCCCGCCTCATTCATCCGTCGTTGGGGCGCGCATGCGCAGAGAGATAAAGAGTGCAACCCGACCTGTAGCCATCAGGGCAATTAGCATGTTCCGTGTCAGGGAGGAACTCTGTGGCCTGATGGGAAATTTCAGCACCAGGGCTAGCAACTGATTGGGATACAGGTGTGGAATGATTGGGGGGGGGGGGTATTGGAGAGGGTGGGGGAAGGAGGGAGGGGATCTGAAACATTGGGAGGGGGTGAGGAGAGGGGAAAGAGAGAGGGGAGGATGGGGGATGATGGAACATTAGGAGGGGGTCGGGAAAGGGGGAGAGAGAGAGGGCAAAGATAATAGAAGATAAGATAATACTTCATTATCCCAGATGGAAATTTTCTTGGCTGTACAGGACCGTAAAAACACATGCAGGTGTACATAGAATATTTAAATTATATATTACTGTCCTTAAAACTCAATATGAAAAGAAAAGTAAAGCTGGCAAATAATGATTATGCATATCACATCAGATGCATCTTTCAACCGCATTCAGGAATGTAATTACAAGGCCTTTAGAGTTATATAGATACAAACTCGAAAGGATGGGGGATGGTTGAATATTGGAAGAGGGGAGAGGATGGAAGGGGTGATCTGGTAATAACGTGCGGAGGAAGGTGGAGAGAGGGGGGGTGGAGAGAGGGGGGATGGAGA